CCGCGCAAAGTGAATATGATGCTCCCGTCAATAGATAACGCTTTTTATTCTTTTTCTACTGAACGAAACCTACGTACTAAGAAGTGTTGTGAAATAACGATGTTAGTTACACTTAGCTGTTAATAGTTAGGCGGCCTTTAATATTTGTTAATGTATCGTTATTTTTTTTTTGGGGGGGGGGGGGCTTATAACTACAAGTTTTATTTGTTTTCGTTATTACTATTTAGTCACTCGAACTTCTTTTAAACATAATAATAATGCTTTTAGATCCTTCGGAGCTTACTTTCAACCTTCTTTCGGAGATATTCATCATACGACTTAGTTTCAATGAGGAAGGATTAACATTACAAGATCAGCAAGTTTTTTAAATTAAGATAGATTACGTGTATTACGCTGTTTCGTTTCTGCACGCAAGTCATCCACTTGAGCGTAATTATGTAGCCTAATCATTTTACCGAGATTTTGCCCCTTAATCTTCTCGTAGACTGTAATCGAGCCACCCTGTAAAATTACAATTACATTTCCTTTGTGTATTTGGTATGCTTCATTGAATGTGCGGTGCACGCACGCGCGTAAAATATAGTGTTAATGTTCCTAAATAAAACCGTGATGGCGGCTTATAGGAAGTGGAGCAGATATTTCTCTGAAGTTCTAAATGGACATAATAGCTATTTCCTGCATAGTACTAAGTGTAAGTGGTGATATGGTTTCTGTGATATGCATGCGATTGTGTGAGCATGTATGTAAACACGAAATTCGTACGATGCAGTTGGAAATGTGCTCTACTTATTCAAATAAATAGAACAAAATATATATCTAACAGTTTTAGCAATTGAAATCACATGAAATATAAAGTAATGCTATGCAATAAACATTAAATAGGTAAATATTTGAGTTAAGCATTGTTGGTCAGGTTTTCTTCCTCCGATACTAATTATTGGTATAGTTAGGGGAGTTTTAAAATGCATTTGAATAGAAATTTTGAGAAAACGCTAACAGAATGATCCTAAAATGTCAGTTGGATCGTCATCAAAATGTAATGAACCCCATTTTGTTCAAAATTTTGAATTCGGACTTTAATTATATACACAGTTCCATGACCAGGAATTCTAAGAACTGTTACTTCACAGGCTACTACATAAAAATGAAAGAACTGTATACAAAATCAAGAAAGGTTAATTTTATTAATCTGTTTTATTCGTGTTTATTTAAAAATAACCATGACTAAACATTACCAATTATTACAATAAGATCATAGATTATAATTCAGAAAATCGTGTTTGAAAAATTCATAAATATTTAGAAGTTGTCTGTTAATACAACACAAAAATATGCAAACTTGAAAGAAAAAACAGTTAACAATTTAACTGTTTCAATTGCAGTGAACACATTCTACAATGGTATATTTATCTAACTTGTTTACAGTTGCATACGCCAAACTTGGGTTGTGAGTTTTTCATATTTAATTGTTTCTTCACTGTTATTAAAAGGAAGAGTACCGTCCTAGAAAAAATTACCCGTCATTCCTTCATTAGTGCTATAAGAGTGCAAGTATATGAAAATAATGATGTTTGAGTTATTTATCAGTATGTAAAAGAACATATTAAAAAATTTTAAATCAGGAGTACAACATTCAGTGTCCTTTTCCCCAACCGACATGCTCTGCAAACAGGGTTTTTTGTTGTTGTTTTTTTATATGCAGTAGAAATTCGTTCACTTCATTTTTAGCGTTTCCTTAAGCTGAACATTATTTATACAACTATCTTGTCTATTTTAAGTTATACAAATGTTAGTTTACAAGTAGAGGTTTTAACTGACAAATTCCTTGCGTTATATTATTTATCAAAATCAATAATATTTCCTCACATTACCGATATTTGAATCGTTCCTGATTTGTTTATTATTTGTAAGTACAAATACATCTCTTTCAATTTTTATTTTTAAACGAAAGATATATTCGTTGAATTGTACATGCTACATAATTACATCTTAAATCCAACCTACAGCAGACGAGTGAAGGCAAGTACGTAATTAATAATAATTAAAAAAACTGCAACCAGTTAAGCACTTAACCCAGCTTGACCATTGTCTGTTGGGATCGATGTTGCACTATTAATAAAAAAAACATCTTCCACTATATAGACACACATAAATACACGCTATCTTGTATTTGATTCATAGTGGGTTAAAACTGTTACATAGCATAAGCATCTGTGTGGCGATACATGTTTTTGGAAAGGTGCGAGCACCATTACTTCCTAGCCATTATAAGCGACATATTTACGACTCGTGTAATAAGTGTCTTGAAAATGTTGTGATTAACGGAGAGAAGCGCGAAGTACGCGCAGCCAAGTTCATGTTAAAATCGTTAACATTAGTAAAATTAATACTTAAAACGCTTTTGGTAAAGATTCTGTTTTTGGGTCAGTAATAATTTTACTGTAGTCTCCGAAATGAGTAGTGCCGTGACTACCACGTGTTTCCGGCTTGTGGTTCCAGTATCAACAAGAGTAGGCCTACGGAGACTACAGATTTGATTCAAGTTACATCATAGGAATTAAATAATTTTTGATATATATATTGACTAGACTTGTGTTCTATTTCATTTCTTAACCTTTTAAAATAACCCCTTTTTTAACCATGAAAAAGTGAAGTCTGGTAGTTGGCCAAGGATCGTTGTTCGTAGATTGTGCAAGTTTAGCTAATACATGCAAGCTAGACGTAGGCGTCCTGTAGGAACAGACAACTTGCAGTTTTCTTAAAGTTCCAAAACCATGTGACAGTCAGAAATATTCCACCTTAACGAGGCTTTAGTTGTACTTATTCATAATATTCTTATAAATAAGTGGTTAATCAATCAAAAAGTATGAAGCTGTGTGATTTGTTATGCGTACTTTTGCAGTCTGTTTAGCCAACATGTTTATAGCTACCAAAATATAAATATTTGGGTTACTAATAGTAATAATCTTGTAGAATTTTACCTGACATTAAAATGTCAAATGTTGGTTTTGTTTTTATTTAGCAGCATAAAATATATATTTGTAACTAAAGGTTTGAATTTTGAAAAACATACATCAAGTAATACATTCCTTAGTTATATTGCTTGTTTCGTATGTGTTTTGTTCTTCTAGTAGTTTTATGAATGATAAACACTTCAGAAATAATGATTGATTTGTAAGGTTTAGCATATTTTCACCATAGTATAGAAGCATGTTGGAAAACAGACAATATTTGTAAAAACATACACTAGTAAACTCTTCGTTATTAATACTAACCAAGGTTTTTAGAAACTACATTTCTTCCCACTTGTATGGGTAATCTTGTATATTAAAATGTTTGTTTTGCTTGTGCTTATTCTACAAAAATGAAATGACAACAAAAATTACATTAATACAATTTGGATTTCAAATGATTTTAAGTCTGGAATTATTGTTGACCTTTTCAGTTGGTAAACAGCTACACTGTAAAAAATTATACATAATTTCGAAATCTTTCTAGTTTATGAAGTTTATTAAAAATATCTGTTTTCTCTATTGATAATAATGGCATAGACTTTTACAAATCAAGTAATGCCTAGATTTTGGTGGAGGTGGAAAATAACAATTGTGTTGCCACTGTATTCAATCCATTGTATTGATTTTTATCTCCAGTATTTTAATTAATTACTATTACTTATGAACATCAGTTAGTGTCAAGTAAGATAACTGATTTGAGTGACAATTATCTGAACTAATTGAGACCACATTGGCTGGATAATCAAAAATCCAGATAATTAGATATTATTGAAAAATTGTACTTTATAATATAGTTTACAATATTTACCAGGTTCATCTTTTTTTTAACTTGTTTATGATGTCCACTTTGTCACTCAATGAAAGAATCTGTCTTTTGTGTTTGGCAGACATTTTTACCCAAACAAAGAGCAACTTTGATTTAAAAAAAATATATACATTTTTGATTTTTAAGGAAACTCAAAGCACATCCATACTCAATAAGGCTAATATGACAACTGACGGTTCTGCTGAGAGATCTACCCTTTGCTACAAAGTGATCCAAGCATATTAGGACACATTTAACATTTGTGTTGTTTTTTTTTTTTTGGCAAAAAGAAAATGCATACATGTGTATACATATTTTTGATTTTCAAATTTTGATCCAGATAACTGGACATCTGGATATTTGGCATTCTACTGTAATTGTAATACTGCCATTACAACTTCTCATTATTATTTTCAATTAATTCTAAGTTGTTCAGTTTAATTGATTAGTATAAAATAATAAAAATTAGTTGTTTTGACTATTAATATTTTTTGTTTATTCCAACTATTTAAGTCTCATGAGAATAATAGGTTAGTTGAACGTAATTGATGAATAAGCCCAAAAATCAATGAATTAGCAAATTCCACTATTTGCCTAGCTTTAATGTCAACATTTATTCCACCAATTTGCTAGTCTGTGAACTTTGGGTGTCAAGTTAAGCCTGTATGAGTTCAAAGTTATTTTAATAATAATTTAAGCACAATTTTAACAAACAATGTTTTGGTCACTCTTAAACAATTTCAAACAATATATTATTGTACATTGTTATGATGCATATACCCCCATTTATCTATATCACTAATAATGATTTTGGACATTTTGCTGTTTTAAGTTTGATTATTTCAATTCAGAGACTGGTATATATATCTTATATGTATTCTAAGTAACAGAGCTCAATCATAAAAAACATAGAAATATTAAAAAAATTTTAATTTTCATATACTGTTCATGTAGTAGGAATTTATATATGTTTGTATTATTAAATATGAAACAAACATATGAAAAAAAATCAGTGTGTGGTTTTACCTTGTAGTGCATATAATTGCTTATTAAATATTAGTATTAGATGTACTTCTATAATGGTAATCCTACAAGTGCTTTTGATTATTTCTTGAATGAATTTTGTTCAATTACATTTCAGAAATTTTATTAATTTAATGTTTTTTCTGTTTGATAAATAGAGGGCAACACCATCTAAATGTGACTGGGTGACAGAGGGCCTTTCTATACCTCATATCTTTCAGGTTTCTGAAAATGTTTGCAAATCTGGCTGTGTTATCAATTCCAGCCAATAATGAGTAAGTTATTCTGTTTGAGTGTTGTCTTTGATTTCTGTTACATGTATAGTAATGAACATTTTACAGTAATGCAATTAAAGAATTGTGTTGACAATTTGTGTAATGTATTTTATGTTTTTATGTATATCAATGTTTGACTATCTATTTAATTAATTGTTTGTGTATAATTGAAAAATTGTAGGTGTGTTTGGAAAATCTATTATCATTAACTTCTAATTAATTCAAGTTTCCTAATATAGCCAATTCAATATAAAGTTTTAATTAGATGTATGCAAAGCCATAAAACAAAAACTTGTAATGATTGGAATGCATTGTTTCATCAGTTGGGTACCCCTCATATTAATAATATTTTTTGGCTGTAATCCCAATAACATTTCATGAGGTTCATCCAGCTTAACCCTTTTGATACGGATCACAGGTGAAAGGCCATGTCATCTCGTTTGTTGACTCACATTCAAAATTTTGTTGCGTCGTTTCTTTTTTTTTTTTTTTTTTTAGTTTACTAAGCTTCATAAATTATAGTATAATTCTATGGTATTGATGTATATGTATATTGATTAGTTATTCAAAAGTATATATAAAACGTAAAAAATATTTTGTTTCATGTCCTCCACATGCAAAATTTTTAAAGGTTTAGCAACCTATATCAAGCAGCAACTGAGTACAAAGGTCATAACTAGAAGAGATAGTTATTGCTTTAATTCTTTATTTACTGTTCTATGTTTTAGGAAAAATAACTTTAAGAACTTGTTTCAAAATAGCGATAGTCTATATACATATATAATGTACAATAATTGAAATGTGACTGTATTTTACAAAATACTAGTCGACTAAAACACAGCCAAGACATGTCACTTTGTACTGACCAAAGGTCGGTTTATATTGTTTGATAAGGTAACATGAGTACACGTAAGCTGCATCGTTGTAACTTCTGTATTGTTAGCCAGGTACGAGTGAAAGGTCAATATAATAAAAATAATAAATATATATAAATGTATAATGTTATGAGATTTAAGCTATTTCATCTAAATATTTATGTCTTCATGTTATAATTTGTGTGTTCATTCTAGAATGAAAGATGCATAATTTATGTTTATTTCCTGATTTTTATGGTGGTTGCGAGATTGGTCAAATTTACTGAACTCGTACAAAGATTAATTACTGAAAATGACAGATAAAATATAAAGTTTTTTAAGAAACGTTTGATAACTATTTGAACATCATAAAGATTTCGCATGTGAAATTTCAAAATTGTCTGATCCATAAAAGTATTTTTAATGTTAAGATGATAATTACTTTGCATGATAGATGGGCAAGATGTGAAAAGAAAAAAAAACATGAGAGAAACATTGATTTACAAACCTTAAAACTTAATTTTAAAAAATTAGATATTTTGTGTGTGAAAGCATTGTAATGTTTACTGATAAACTGCCA